ACATTAAACGGCTGCCACGAAATTGACAAGGACGTAATAAAATTACCGTTCAATATTATCTGACGTATATTTATGAAGAAGATACAAGTTTCAAATCTTGACCGTCTAAGATTACGGTAATTAAAGAGTGTATTCGTTGGAGATGACATATCTCGAGCGCGTAATTGGAGTAAGATGCATTTACGCGATGAAACCTATCATCTTACCGCCATTTACAGTGTCCGATCGATTCCATGATAATTGATGCACACTTAATAATGAACGCGCGAAGTAATTAAGAACATGCACACGAATTGTATCAAGATCCCTGATACACGATATTAACCAGTGTTTCTCAACCTTTTTATCACACATAACACATTTCTTTATAATGATACAAATGTTTATAATATAGAATGTTTAAAGAATAAATAATTAAAACCAAAGAAAGAAAGTATTGAATGTTAAAAAATTTGATAGTTTCTTAACAATGCATGGTTTCCATTCATTCGTGAAAAAAAATTAATTTATAAGTATTCACTTTCATGTTTCTTTTTATGACTTAGAACATTTTGTACGTTCGTATGAGCAAAGTGGATCGAAAAGGTGTTCTGGTTGCATGGAAACCCCAAGGGAGAACAGATAATCGATGAGGGGAACCAAGTGTCTTGACCATAGCGAGGAATTGACAGACAAGGCGCTATCCTAAAGGGAATTCTCGAGAAGAGATCCTGCTCTCCCGCCTCTGCGGAGAAGCCAAGCAATAAATTCGCAGATACGTCGCCGACAGAAGGATCTGATAGCGGCGAAACTTGCCTGCGCAAAACCCTTTTTTTCACCACACGACCGAATATGGAAATGCGCGACCACTTCGTTAAAACGATTCGAATGTACATCCGCTTACGTTTACTCGAAGAATTTTATTAACTGTAAAAATAGATGTTTCCTTACTTCATTTTAATGCCAAGTAGCATAATATAAAAGCTATTGTTTTCACTTTAATTATAGTCATAAACTTATAGTAATGCCGTTACATATGTATGTATGTATGTATGTATGCACATATACTCGGAGTAACACGAAGATTAAGTGCATTTATGACGTACGCGTAAAAATCATTATCTTCTTTAATAAATGCGATTAAATATTTGTCTTTAAGATTGTTCTATTATTCAAAGTTTATCTACAATTTTCCTTTTTTTGCTATTTGTACTTCACTTGTATTCCTAATATAATTTGTAACTCGGTTGATCATAAACTTCTTAGCTATTCATAGAGACAACTATTTCATTTAAAATTTTACGAAATAATGTACATAAGAGATCCGTATCCGAATTTGCATATTATTTAAATTATCTAATTCTACATTTGATAAATTATCTATCCTATGGCCATTTCATATACCGGCATCTGTGCAGAAGAGATCTAAAGTGCACGACATTACTAAAAATGTTGTTCTCTTTATCTTCAACAGATAAATACTTAACTACTTTCCACCGAGGAGAGATTACCACCGAGGAGAGATTACTAAAGAGTGGCAACGCCTGTGTTAACGCGCGGCCCGAAAAAAGGGCCCAAGAGGGCTCGAACCGGCAAGGTAGATTTATGAAATCCCACAGAATGACTGTTCCGGAGTGTACCTTCAGGCTCAGCGATGCCGGTGCCGATGCTTTTTTCCAGCACGATAGGTAATAGGTAACCGTAGAACGTTGATATTATCATCGTTATACTTGATTCGAGATTAGTACTTCGGAAAGAGAATGACTATCATTTTCAAATTTTGTCACACTTGTATTACTTTATTTTCATTAGTGCACACCATATTTTGCATTTGAAGTAGGAATAAAAGTAATTGGCATTTAATATCTCAATGAATATCAGTGTTTAATTGAAATTAGTTTCTGAATTGTTGTTATATCCACAAAATAGCGTAATTCGCTATATACATTGTAGAAACAGAATCTTCAATGTTGAGTTCATGGTAAATCTTAAACATTGTTGTTCATGTTGGTAATACAAAAGTGGAAAATTAAGTTTTTCATGCAGTTATTGGATAATAGTTTTAAATTCTCGTATTTGCTACTACTACAGCCGCTACAGCCTACTTTAATACATAGCCATGCTGAGAATGAAATGGCAACACCGCGGGGGTCCGAATTTCCTGTAGTGCAACCATAGCTGACTCTTCGACTCTCTTCGTGCCACCACAGTCGGCTGTGGTTGCACTACACGAAATCTGGACTCTCGCGGTGTTGCCATTTTATTCTCAGCATGGCTATGTATTAAAGTAGGCTGTAGCGGCTGTAGTAGTAGCAAATACGAGAATTTAAAACTATTATCCAATAACTGCATGAAAAACTTAATTTTCCACTTTTGTATTACCAACATGAACAACAATGTTTAAGATTTACAAGAACTTAAAGTAGGCTGTAATAGTAGCAATGCCGTTCATATTATTTATAAATTGGAGAATGTCACATACGAGGTACAGACGTATCACTTTACTATCTACTTAATACGCATGAGGTGCATGTGTCTTCGTACGAATTGGAATATTCCTTCCTGGAAAGATTGACGGTCTCATTAGTCGCCAGGAATTCGAT